CGTAGGGGGAGAGAATGCAATATCAAACTCTTAATTAGAAAGGTTTTGTAAGGAATTCTACCACGAAATGTCATTCCATAAGGAAACTTAACAGTATGCAATCAAATCACTTGGAAAGAAAAGGTTTTAGTGTACAGTACAATATACAAGTCAATAATTAACCAACTAAGGTGGATTTAATTGATAGGCTGCAGCAATACAAATCCACTTTGGGGGAAAGGGAGAAAAATCCTTCCATTGTGGTAATAATAATGCAGAAGAGACTATGGCTACACAACTTATTGATTAAGTAACTAATTGACATTTCGATTTAAAAGCTTAACATGTGAGTTGCTTTAAAGTCTTGTTTCTAAGGAGAACCAGCTCAAAATACCCCGGCTTCTGAAGTGAGGTAAGTATCTACGATGAATAGGACCTTCTCAGTTGTTGCATCCCCCCCTCCATGTTGAATTGTCCCCAACCTACACAACTTGTACCCTCAGCAGGTTTCCACTAAAACATCCAGAACCTTGCAAAACCTGAGCAGCTAATTGCTTGCCATTTCTTCAGTTGTTGAGGATGCCTCAAGTTCTCCCACAGCAACCCAACTCCTCTCTTTATCTGTAAATGTGGCAGGTTATAAAGGGTATATCTATCCTCAGCTAGCCTTCTGTTTCCTTAAATGACTCCTGTCACCCTACCACCACCACTCTCCTCCCTCTACCTCTCATGCCTGTAACTGCCTCAGAGTTGTGAAATACGCTTTATTTTTTTTATGAGGTCCACCAGCTGGAACCAGATGCAAAATGGTGGCTCAATGGGCACAGACTTTTGCTGTGTTCCATGAGACACTGGGATGACCTGTATATACCCATACAAATACTGTACAAATAAATTACAACAGATAAGAGATTATAATATAAAATTTCAAAGCTAGCCAGAAGTGATTTGGGCAAAGGCAACAGGGATAGATATTCAGCATTTTGCACGTAGTGAGATAAATTCCAGATGGGCTGATATCTCAAGTTACTAGATCAAAATAAGAAATATTTCCTTCCTATCCTGCGACCTCGAACTTCTCATATTCCCTAACCATTCACTAAAAACTGCTACTCAGGAAGTCCTCCTTGAAGCCCTTGTAATAAAATTGCAGTGAAGACAGGTTCCTTTCCAACCTCATTTCTTCTTTTATTTAGTAGCAGAGGGCAACAGGAAAGTTCAGAATGCAGAAACTAAAATCCCAAATGCCCACTTCTTTTCCTGCAAAGATGACAAAATTGTACTAAGCTGAACAGCATATTAAAAGCCATAGATATAATTGACAAAATGAGGTCAGGTTCACTAACTGTAAGTGAAGATTGAAATTAAGTATGTTTTTCCCCCATGTAAATTTTTATTATTTTCTTCATATAATCTTTCTCCAACAATCCTTATTATCACAATATAATCCCTTTGACTCTGCCGAGTCTTGACTTCCCTCTCTCCCCGCTGCTGGTATATACTCCATTCCTATCGCGTATGTTATTCTCATATCTCTACAATTTTACATTGAAGGTATTATTCCAGTCCTGCTAGTGTCTTTATGCCTTTATAGCTCTCCTTTAAATGTTCAATAAATTTACTCCAGTTGTTATTGTATCTCTTGTCCTTTTGGTCCCGGATCCTCCCTGTCAATTTGGCAAGTTCCGCAAAATCTGTCATCTTCACCTGACACTCCTGGATGGTTGGTAATGAAATTAACCATGTTTAAGCACCAGGGCCAGCCCATCCATGAGGCAAGGTAGGGCAACTGCCTCGGGCAGCAGGATGCACAAGGGCAGCAGATCTGGCCTCAAAGGAATGCATCCCCCACCTGGATCTGCAGCTGAATCTGCTGCCTCCTTGGCAGCCTCCACAATGCCACCTCTATAGCGGCCTCTTGGCGAATAGGAGGCGCTGAAGGTCTCCTCCCACCCTTGTTCCTGATGTTGATCTTCGCCCATTCCTTCTTTCCTGGCAGTGGGGACGGGGTGCCATTTTGTGGTTCACCTCAGGTGCCAAAATGTCTTGGGCTAGCCCTGTTAAGCACTCTTTGATTCCTAAACTTTCCATGCTCCCGGCATGTTAAAATTTAAGAGCAAGGTATTTTATGTTGTGATGTGAGTAACTGTTGTCTTTCAATCATATCTGTGGACTGTTGTTGTTGTTGGGTCTAGGCATTCACAAGTGTCTCTCTCCTCTAAGTATCTGGTCACGTGGATGAGAGAGGGCCTTTTGAACTGTGGCATCTTGGCCATGGCAGGCTCTTCCCAAAAAGTGTTGCCTAGTGCTCATATATCAATGTATTGCTGCCACACAAAGACATTTCACAAAACATTATTTTTCTCATGTCTGATGTGACTGTTTTTGTAGCGTCTGATGGTTTATGGTGACGTTGTTATTTTTAATTGTTTTAATACGGTAAGCTGCCTGAAAATATTTATACTGAGTATACATCGATAAAATAAATCTCATGAATAAACAGGGCTTTCTGAATGTGTGTGAACTGATGTTGGGGAAATGTCTCATAAATTCAAAGGCTGCAAATGTTTTTTACTCTTTAACTGGAAGTAAGTCCCATTGACATCAGTGGGGTTTAATTCTGAGTAGATGTGTATAGGATAGTGCTGTAAAGTTGCAATCTTGTATGTCCCATTCAATCCATTGCCCAGTAAACATGGTTCAGACCAGCCTGCTATTAAATTCTCTTATCACAAGGACAGCCAATGATTATGAAAAGCAAGCATATGCCCATTTATCCTCTTTCATGTCACCTATGAATCATCCTTGTTTGTTGCACTGAGTCATTCCTGTCACCTAAAGGCCTGCATGCAACATTCAATTCATCTTCTTCTAAGTTTTCATCCTGATTTACAACTTTATTTTATTTTGCTTTATCCTAATCAGCATTTCTCCCCTCCTCTCCAAAAATATTTGAATTAACTACAAGACGCAACGGTAACAAGAGCCAACTGATGGATTTCAGGTCCTTCCAGGCCACAGATCCCCCACTTTCTGAACTAGGACTGACTGTTTCTTAGGCAATGAGACAGGATCTGACTGGGGCTGAATACATCTCCAAACTGACTGGGCCTCTGTCTGAGCCTCTCAATTCTGGCACCAGCTTTTATTGTGGTTGAGCTCAGCAGGTTCACCACAGAACTTGTAGGTTGCAGGTGGCCTCATATACAGTAAGCTTGCAACTTACATTTAACCCATGAGCACTCAGCTTTATGCGCTTAGCAAAAAAAGAAGAGAGTGGAAAGGGGGTGGGTGTCTGGGGGGAAAGTCTTTGGCAATTCCACTCGCCATTGAACCCAGTGCTTTTTGACTAGACACCATTTTGGCTTTAGGCACAATCCCCATAATGTAACCTCCTACCTAAGTTGTGTGTTTACTGTACGTCTAACTATGATTCCATGTCATATCTATCTTTCAGGAACTAAAAAGACCCCTACCCACTGCATTAAGCCATACTAATATTCTTATATGCAGCAGTGTTTTCTGCTGTTTGCTTGTATCATGTAGGGTTGCAACCCTAGTACCGTGAGATTTCATGATGCAGATGCTTATGGGTATGAACACTGCTCATTGCTGATTGTGCTTAACTAAATTCGAAAGGAGAAATGAAATCTAGTCTTCCTGCAAGGAGAGAGGGGTGGGAATGGGCACAGATCTCACTCAAGTGGAGTTGCACCAGGACAGACAAGCAAGGATCCCCATGTTGAACCTTGTGTACCTTCACAAGTTTCCCCCTGAAACAGTGTCATGGAATGGCTAATGAGGCTGAATGTCAGCTGTATGGTGGGTGGTGACAGGCAAACAAATTTGCAACTCCCTCGCTAATAATATAAAATGTTTGCTTGTAATAGAGTTCATTTCATAACGGAATGGCAGCATGCTCTGCTATTTGCTTGACACATTTTGTTTTTACATGTGCTCATGGATAGCACGTAACTCTTAATCTCAGGGATGTGAGTTTGAGCCACACATTGGGCAAAAAATTCATTCACTGTAGGTGGTTGGACTAGATGACCCTTGGTGTCCCTTCCAACTCTACAGTTTTATGATTCTACATTGCCCAGCTGCTATTGCCAGTAGCTATAGCAACAATGGACCTGCTTTCTCTTTTTAAAGAAACAGCAAGCCAGGAGGCCATAAGAGCAGCTTATGGTGTGATCCTGCATTGACTGCATTCCCTCTACTTTGGTCCTGGTTTTGAATTTTTTTCTGAAATGGCCATTCTTTACTGCACGTCACACTTCATGTTACTTAGGTCTTTAAAATAAAAACCCATCTACTCTGCTCATAAGTCATTCAATGCCACAGCCAAGTGACCAATCAGAACATCTTGGGGCACACAATGTTTTTTTAAAAAACATTTGTACTAAATACTGCATTTCACTGGGTGGAGTGCAACCCACTGGCAGAACCACCAGTTTAAAAAATGACAGCAACCAGTTTTCAAAAGATCTGTCAGTGCACAGTTAAATTATGGAGGTAAGGAGGTAGCAGGATGTTGCCAAGGCCACCAACTTCTCAATGGCTTAAAAATGTGATTGGACAAGTCTAAGGCTATCAATGGAGATTAACCAATTGCTACTAATGGTGGCTTTATCAGGATCAGGATCTATCAGGATCAGAGGCAATGCCAGCTGTAGGGGAGCGCAAACAGGATCATGTTATGTACTGAAGTTCTCACCCTGGGCCAGCAGGGGGATACTGTAGATAGTTATGCAAATGAAGAATCGAAAGTGACGTTCAGTGATTGGATAGTTTTAGAAAGTTGCAACAGTTGTGTTGTTCTGGAGCTCTATATAAGCAGGCTGACTGAGCTCCTCAGTTCAGTTCTGTTCCAGCTTACAAATAAAGAGCTGCTTTGGAAGAATCGCTGTGTCGTCTGATATGTTCGCCCACAACTTAACAGATCATGGATCATAGAATTGTAGAATTGAAAGGTGCCTTAAGGTTCTAATCCAACCCCCTGCAACTCAGGAATCTTTTGCTGAACATTGGTCTTGAACCCACAAATTTAAGATTAAGAGTCTCATGCTCTACCAGCTGAACTATCAGATGAGATGGCAACTGCCCTCTTGATCTTCCTTGTGAGCTTTCCAGAGGCCTCTGCGTGGCCACAGTAGGAAACAGGATGCCAAACTAGATTGGTCTGATCCAGCCAGGTTCTTCTGAGGCTCTTAATATGTTATCATAGCAGTAATTATAAGTAACTGAGTCTTTAGCAGCAAAAAATATATAAAGGGAACAATTTTAGTAGTATAGGAATTGAGTACTAAATATCCCTCCCCCGTCCCCACTATTCACTTTGGCTTTCTAGGTAAAGATGGATGATCACTTTGATGGCATGCACAAAACAGGAAGATACAATGCTTTGGTCCTGGCATGTTGCAATGGAAAGAGTAGCCAGTGATGAACTTATTATGTGCTAATGCATGGGCTCCATCCTTGATACCTGGCTTTGTGTCTGCTGAGCCTGTGATGCAAAACTTCAAGGAATCAGTGTAGGGTTACAGCATGCCTGCTGTGTAGCTGAAATAGATCAGGTTCACTAAATAGGTGTGTCACTGGCCTGGAATAAAAACCTTCGGATGATTGCATCGTGCATGGAATTTGGGGGCCTTTATATCAAATTAGGGTTCTCTTGTACCACAGGGCTGTGGCCGACACCTGCTCTGCTTCTGAAATTCTGTTCCCCATACTTTTGGGTCCATTAACCAACTGCACATGTATAAATGAAGTTATAGCTAGATAATATATTTGTGAGTCAGCTTCCTTAGTTTGCACTGGCCAACTGTGAGGGTCTTGCATTTCCCCCTGAAGCATCTGCTGCTGGCCACAGTCACAGATTAGATGGCCTATTATATCTGATAAAGTATGGCAATTCCTGTGCTGTTAACTGACAATTAGTTTCCTAGCCATCTGCTCCCCTATCACCCATTTCCTATTATTTCCCTTAGATTAAGATTATATGAGAGAATGAGAAGTTGTGGGGGTGGACAATCAACCAGCTCTTACTTTGGAATAAGGAATTCAGATATGATTTCAGAAGCAAGTTTGTTTAAAAAAATTGTCCAATGGCTTTCCAAGTTCTTTTTCAACCTGCATTGCAACAGCTTAGCACCTGCTTATTTCCATTATGAACATATGCCCACCAGCAATGACAAGGTCTGTTCAGGATAATAATCATAACAAAAATAGCATTGGCAAGATGACAACATCTATTATTCTTTCTAAGCAATGGCAATATAAATGAGAAATGAAGAGTTGCATTTATAGGCTCTCTTATTTTTATTTTAGTAAGCAGGGTGTGAAAAGCGGAAGAGAGGAAGAGATTCCTCCTTCCCCATACTTTCAGTACGCAGTACAAATGAATCTTTTCAATATTATTATAGAATTGTAGAGTTGGAAGGGATCCCAAGGATCATCTAGTCCAACCCCCTGCAATGCAGGAATCTCAGCTAAATCATCCATGACAATGGCCACTCAACCTCTGCTTAAAAACCTCCAAGCAAGGAGAGTCCACCACCTTCTGAGACAGTCTGTTCCACTGTCAAACAGCTGTTAACATCAGAAAGTTCTTCCTGATGGAGCAAGCTTGTTGTCTCCTGCTCCAGAGGCTAGGACCTGAACCAGTGGATTCAAGTTACGAGAAAGAAGGTTCCAACTAAACATCAGGAACAAGAGAAAGCTGAGCTTATTCACACTTATCTTTGCCCCTGCTGTTTCCAGGCAGAGGTCCACACTTTAACGCTCTGTGTCTGATGTCTGAGTGGCTTTTTTGCCCAGAGGTTTCCCCGCTTAAACCTATTCTTTAAAATTGAATCAGCGCAAATGTCAATTTGGGTTTTCTGCGGATTACTGTTTGCTCCGATTGATCTTTAAAGAGCAGGTTATCGCGGAGAAAGCCTTGGGAAAAACAATAATAAAAAAGGACGTTTGGATGCAGAGCTTTGAATCGTGGGCTGTGCCTGGAAAGAGCAGAGGAAAGGTGGGTTGTGGATAAGCCCACAAAATGTGTGCTAACTCTTCCTTGTAAGGATGCTTTTATTCAGTAATAACATTTGATTTCTGCAATCATCGCTCCTTCTCCCCCAAGCTCACTACAAAAGACAGTTCATGTAAGTGGTTTTCAAAATTGTAGTAATTAAACTAATTAATACCAAGCAAATGGGAGAAGAAAGGCCTTTTATTTTCAGAGGAATAATAATTGCCACAGCAGCCTATAAAGCATTTTTTAATAATAGGGATGGGGGTGGGGACAGAGCTTGTTCTCTTCAGTCCCAGTTCCTGTTTAGCATTAAGCATGTAACTGCCACAGCCTACTATATTAGCAGGAAAAATTGGTACTCAGGGAGATACATAGTGGATTGTCATTAAAGGTGTTAATACAAAAAAGAAGTAGCTTGGGTGCTTACGACAGGATGCCACCTGAAGTTCAGAAAACTCAAAACTTTTCCAAATGTACCAAATGTTACTGGGGTGCAGAGACACAATTGCAACAAAAACGATAATGGGGTTGAAGTTGCCTTAGGGGCAGTGTTAGAAACTCAGATATATAAGCTAGGCGCCAAATGGCTCCTTAAACCAGGGATACAGTCGCCAAAACAGAATGCCTAGGTGCCATTTTGGGGCAAGATGGCATGAAAGTTGTTTTTTTCAATACAACTTTTGGGTTCCTGATATTCATTCTGATTGTGCAGATAAAATACGTATAAAGGATCTACAGGATATGTTGCTAGTGTGAGAAAACAGTTAAGATCCAAAATCTCTAGGCGTGCACCTCCAGATAGTGGAGACACCAGGCACCATCCTGACACCCGGGCATCTTCACTTGCAAGTGGCCGGTAGTCACGTGCAAAATGCGCCTGGCCCCTGGCAAATTTTGAACACTGTTTAGGGGTGCATTTCATGTTTACCCAGGTAGCTGGGGTGGCTTAGTCGGTACAGTACTAGACTCTTAAACTCAGAGTTAGAGAAGGGTTGGGTGAAATATTCCTGCACTGCATGGGGTTGGAATAGATGACCCTCACTCTATGATTCTATGATACCTAGTTCTGTCTCTAACAGTGCAGCTGAAGAGCTCAATCTCAGAGATGCCCAATGACCTGAACCTGAGCTTTGCCTCAATCCTCAATTCTCCCTATTACTTCCTCTCCCCAGCCACCAGGAGTGAAGGCTGCATACAGGAAGCCCAAGAAGGAGTACCCATTGGATGACCGGGCAGCATTGTCAGCAGGGATCTACTTAGGAGGAAGGGTGTACTTGTGGGGAGGGAGAATATCCAGCTGCAAGCCATCACTCAGCTGCAAGCGATGACCCAGCAGAGGACCAACTAGAGCAGTGCCTATAGAAGTCCATCAGTTTCCCGCAGACCTTTGCTGTGTTAATACCTCCTTTCAGATATCATAAATGCTCCAGCTCTCTCATACCATCTCCAACTGCATCAGGGATCAGGAACCTGTGGGCTTCTAGACGTTGTTGGACTCAAGTTCCCATTATCCCTAGCCAGCATGCTCAGGGCTGATGTGAGTTGTAGTCCAAAACATCTGGAACGCCACAGGGTCCCCAGTCCTGAACTACATCATTGACTGTGATGGACGCATTTGGCTCTTGACAGTATCCCATCTGTAGCATCTCCAGAAGTGGGCTGCTTTCCCCCTCTTCATCCTGTCATGAGAGGAGGGTTATGGGGGATCTAGGGCCCCTGTCCAGGGCACCACAGTGTCTTAGGTCAGCTGAGAACATGTGCATTTACCACAGTGAAAAGCAAGAAAAGCTATGGCCTAGCTACAATCTAAATATAGCTGCTTCCGCACTTCAGTTGCCATGTGTCATACGGAAGACAATTTGACGTTGGTTGCCAGAGAAACCATTTATGCTATTGAATATGGTTGCGCTGCCCCTGCTTCATACTCTCCCACGTAAATCTGAAAGACGAAGGTTCACTACAAAATTGTAACTGGCAGGGAAGGCTTTGCCCATGGAGCCCCAGAGAGACGTAGCAAAACCCTCTGTCTATAATTTGGCCATCTCTGGATTGTTCTTTGCAGTGCTAATGGAAATAACGAGCTGTTTGCCTATTTGAGCCTCATCAAGACACTGGCATTCAATGCCATTTCTGAGGGTCTTTCTACGAAGTTGTTAGAAATGACTCATAATGAAAGCACTGTGAAATTTCCAAAGTGGCTTCAGAAGCTCTAAACATTGGTTCTTAATAGGCAGAAGCTTTTCACCTCAGGTTAAGAGGTAGGCTTGGGTATATACAGCCTTGGGCGCCATTATTTGCCAGCTACAATAGTCCTGTGGAGGTTTTTTTAGGTTGCTACTGGTTTGGTTTGGTTTGGTTTTAGAAACTTGCTTCTCTCTGAGAACTCCTTCTGCGTCAATTTCTTAGACACAGGACATCTGTATATTACAGTGGCCCACCAGCCGCAACTCTATAAAGGACCTTCAAGAAACCATGAGATTCCGCAAAACACAGTACTATGCAACAGCAGAAATGGAGTTCTCCAGTGGCTAAATCAGGATAAGCAAGCAGAGGCAGTTTTAGGGTGGCACAACAGGTGTGATTACAGTGGGTGCCCCACTGCAGGGGGCTCCAAAACAATGATGTAGAACAGAGCATGAGAGGCAAGGGGAGCCAAATTTTAGCGCTGCACAGAGCACCACTGAAATTTGAGACCCCAAAGTTCAACACTGAAGCAAGCCTGAGTTTCCCACCACAACTAGAAATGCTGCTTTGTATTTTATTAACAAGAGCCAGTCTTCAGATCTTAATTTCTTTACCCCACCCACATAAAGTCCTTTATAAAACCAACACACACATATATAATGCATTTTTTAAAAAGTACAGTGGTACCTCGAGTTACAAATGCCTCAGGTTACAAATGCTTCAGGTTACAAACTCCGCTTACCTCGAGTTGAGAACTTTGCCCCAGGATGAGAACAGAAATCGTGTACCAGAAATCGTGCTGGCGGCGCAGCGGCAGCAGAAAGAGGCCCCATTAGCAAAAGCACGCTTCTGGTTAAGAACAGTTTCAGGTTAAGAACGGA